ATGGCGAATGTTTATCATGTAATGTTGATTGCCTGTCACTTTGTACTGAATGCCTATCATATTATCTTGGATGCCTATAGTGTAACGGTAAATGCCTACCATGTTATAGTGAATGCCTATCATGTTGTGGTGAATGCCCATCATGTTGCCGTGAATGCCTATCACGTTGTAGCGAATGCCTATTACGTTGTGGTAAATGCCTATCACATGAATAATGCCTATTATTAGATGGCAAATGTTTATCATGTAATGTTGATTGCCTGTCACTTTGTAGTGAATGCCTATCATATTATCTTGGATGCCTATAGTGTAACGGTAAATGCCTACCATGTTATAGTGAATGCCTATCATGTTGCCGTGAATGCCCATCACGTTGTGGCGAATGCCTATCACGTTGTGGCGAATGCCTATCACGTTGTGGCGAATGCCTATCACGTTATGGTAAATGCCCATCACGTAATGATGAATGCCCACCACGTAATGGTGAATGCCTACCGTGTTATGGTGAATGCCTATCATGTAATGGTGAATGCCTATCGTGTTATGGTGAATGCCTACCGTGTTATGGTGAATGCCTACCGTGTTATGGTGAATGCCTACCGTGTTATGGTGAATGCCTATTATGTAATGGTGAATGCCTATCACGTTGTGGTAAATGCCTATCACGTTTTGGTAATGCCTATCACGTTTTGGTAATGCCTATCACGTTGTGGTGAATGCCTATCACGTTGTGGTAAATGCCTATCACGTTGTGGTAATGCCTATCACGTTGTGGTGAATGCCTATCACGTTGTGGTAAATGCCTATCACATGAATAATGCCTACCATTAAATGGCGAATGCTTATCATGTAATGCTGATTGCCTGTCAAATTTTAGTGAATGCCTATCATATTATCGTGAATGCCTATCGTGTTATGGTGAATGCCTACCGTGTTATGGTGAATGCCTACCGTGTTATGGTGAATGCCTATTATGTAATGGTGAATGCCTATCACGTTGTTGTAAATGCCTATCACGTTTTGGTAATGCCTATCA